AAGACCATTCATGAGTTTGAGAAGATCAAGAAGGGCTTAGACCTGGAGAAGACTGAAATTCAGGCAGCACTGGAGGAAGCTGAAGTATGAATCTTCTTTGTGTCTGCAAACTTTTGTAGTTGAAAACCAAAAATAAAAAACCTCAGTCACATTATTGTTACACCAGAAAATATACTTGTGTATTGACTTAAACATATGAATAACATATTACATCATTAATGTCAAAAGGAGAAGTATTTTCATGATTATTATAGTGACATTAAATTTCCTGTTAGGTCTTTTTTAGGTAAGGTTAATTAGTACATGTATTGAAGAAAAAAATGGTTTGATTCAATTAAAACGAGAATGAATGAATGATACATGAGATTCCTGGAAATAATAAATGTATACCTTTCTGTTTTGTCATTTAGTGTTTTTTATTTTACCTGGAAATAATACATAAAAAAAATTTATGAAATTATTTATGGTTTATAAAACCAGCCCATAACATATAGAATTATATCACACCAAAACAGATTTGAAAAGACTTGGACTCTCATTAAATTCTCATATACATAATTTTTTTATGTCAGGGAACTCTGGAGCATGAGGAGAGAATGACTCTATGTATACAGCTAGAGCTCAACCAGATCAAAGCAGACATTGACAGGAAGCTGGCTGAGAAAGATGAGGAAATCGACAATCTCCGGTGAGTTCTACTTAATGAGTGATGAATACTGATTATTGAACCATTATTTTCCATTACTCCATTTCATTATACAACCATTATTGATTATACTACAAGGCTTCCTAACTACTTTACCCACCTTTAAATTCTCTAGCCGTAACCATCAGCATGCCATAGAGTCCATGCAAGCCACCCTGGACGCAGAAGCAAAATCCCGTAATGAAGCCATCAGGTTGAAGAAGAAGATGGAAGGCGACCTGAATGAAATGGAGGTTCAGCTGAACCATGCAAATCGCTTAGCCACCGAGTCCCAAAAAATGGCCCGCAACCTGCAGACACAGATTAAGGTAAAAGTGACTTTTATTGTAACAAACATATTTGAATTATTGCATCATAATTGTGGGAAATAAAACACAGGTTTGGAATATTTCCATATTATATGTATGCAAAACTACCTAAGCAAATAGTCACTAACTCATCCCTAACTAACATAAAACCCCCTGTCATATAAATGAAAAGGGCCTTCAGATAGAGCTGGATGAGACTATTCACCAGAATGAAGAAATGAAGGAACAAGTTGCCGTTACTGAACGCAGAAACAACCTCCTGACTGCTGAGGTTGAAGAACTCAGAAGCCAGCTGGAGCAGAACGATCGCGCCCGCAAACTGGCTGAGTATGAGCTCCTGGAAACCACGGAGAGAGTCAACCTACTGCATACCCAGGTAATGGCCAGATTTTCCATCAGTCTTTGCAGAAGGCAGTTCTTCCGAGCATTTTCCATAATTCTTTCTTCCTTCCCAGAACACGTCACTGCTTAATCAAAAGAAAAAGTTGGAGAGCGATATCTCCACGTTGTCTAGCGAGGTGGATGATGCTGTGCAGGAGTGCCGAAATGCAGAAGAAAAAGCCAAAAAGGCCATCACTGATGTGAGTGTCTTGCATAGAGAGGGTGTTTTATGCTAAATATTGTGCACAGGATATTTAATATGATGCTTTCAACTTGCAGGCTGCCATGATGGCAGAAGAGCTCAAGAAAGAGCAGGACACTAGTGCTCACCTGGAACGTATGAAGAAGAACATGGAGCCGACCATCAAAGATCTGAAGATGCGTCTGGATGAGGCCGAGCAGATCGCTCTAAAAGGAGGCAAGAAACAAATCCAGAAACTAGAAAGCAGGGTATGCAGGATGACATTTGTCATTTATAAGTCAGTAAAATATTGCTGCATGAAAAACCTGACTGACTTTAGTGGTGTCTTGCGTTGTGAACTTTTAACTTTGCTTTCCTTAAGGTCAGAGGCCTGGAGAGTGAGCTGGAATCTGAGCAGAAAAAAAGCAATGAATTCCAGAAGGGAGTACGCAAATATGAGCGAAGGATCAAGGAGCTCACCTACCAGGTACAGACTCCATCAGAGAGATGCACAAATTCAGTTTAGATTGTACTGAAAGGTTGCACTATTCTGGAAGAATAAACCGTGGCACCACCTGCTGTTTCTACAGACTGAGGAGGACAGGAAGAACATGGCGCATCTACAGGAGCTCATAGACAAGCTGCAGGCCAAAGTTAAGACCTACAAGAGACAAGCAGAGGAGGCGGTGAGTTTACAAATAAACCTACACCTCATGTATACGTAAAACATCACTGATGGTTCCTGCTCATTGTAATGTAGGAGGAACAAGCTAATACCAACTTGACCAAGTACAAGAAGACCCAGCATGAGCTGGATGACGCTGAGGAACGAGCTGAGATTGCAGAGTCTCAAGTGAATAAACTATGAACCCGGACCAGAGACCCGGGTAGCAAGGCTAGCCCTAAGGCATGTAGCTCTTGAATATTGCATTTAAACTGTTCATTTACTCTATAATGACTAAACCGATTAATCAGCTTTGTTTTTACCCATTTTAGCTTGCAGAGTGAAGAGGAAGGCCCTCTCATATAGGATCACAGCCCACAGCTGCAACAGTTGTGAGTGAATTAAAAATATGCCTAAAGCTATGAGCAAAACAAAAATAATGACTCTTTTATGTTTATGTAGACCATATAAATCTGTATTTCATATTTTCTTTATTTGTACCAATGTATAGGCCTACTGCAACGTTATGACATCTCTTTGATTTTAAACTTTCAAAGATAAAACACAGCCCTTCCTTAAACTCTCTTCAGGATATACACGGCTTTTGCACAAAAGAGCAGTGTTTAAAATGTGTTTACACAATGAATACATTTTTAAAAAGTGCTCTCAGTAGTCTTTCCTGTTATTCTGGTCGATATGGCAGTCGTCGTGAACTTATACTGACACCTAGCGCGTGGATGCAGCATCACACAAACGCAAATATCAAAGACTATACATGATTTAAAACACTTAAAATGTATTGATAATTCAAGTATTAATAATTTCTTGTGATGTTTAAAACTCTTTTAGGCTACTAAAATTTATCACACAAGAATGAATGGAAATCCACAAATTATATAACTAATGCCTTCCTTGAGCATGGTGCTTTCATGTCTTAAATGCCAAGGTGTGGGTTTTCAAGACGGAACGTTTTTTCAGTTTAGAAGATTTCATATATGGAAAAGAATGAAACCTGAATGACAAAAATACTTAAACGTTTTTTTTCCCAAATAGTTTTTTGTTCTTGCTGTATTTGAACCATTTTCTTTCTCATCTCATACCTATAGTCGAACTAAAACCTGTTTTTGAATTGCTAAATGTATTGATAATTCAAGTATTAATAATTTCTTGTGATGTTTAAAACTCTTTTAGGCTACTAAAATTTATCACACAAGAATGAATGGAAATCCACAAATTATATAATGCCTTCCTTGAGCATGGTGCTTTCATGTCTTAAATGCCAAGGTGTGGGTTTTCAAGACGGAACGTTTTTTCAGTTTAGAAGATTTCATATATGGAAAAGAATGAAACCTGAATGACAAAAATACTTAAACGTTTTTTTTCCCAAATAGTTTTTTGTTCTTGCTGTATTTGAACCATTTTCTTTCTCATCTCATACCTATAGTCGAACTAAAACCTGTTTTTGAATTGCAGTTACATTTAAAAAAAAAAAAGAGTTAGTGTATGACTTATATTCAAACTAATATATTTCCACAAGATGAAGCAATTGATTTTGGAAAGCATAAAAAGGTAAAACATCCAACCTTAACTGTCAGAGGCCAGATATTGAATTCCGTTTTATTTAAAGCATCAAGTTTACTGGGCTTGACATGGTTATCACTTATGACTGAATTCATCCAGACAGAGCTACATAAGAAAATGCAGGTATTTAAAACCAAACCCAACCCATGCGAGACATGAACCAAGGCCCATGGATGATGAAGAGACATTCAGATCCTTTGTGTTGATGTAGCAATCATTCAAATCAGAAAACGCACACATTCACACTACTGCTAATATTACAACTGTACACATTCCTGGGGTCAAAGGAAGTGACCAAAAAACTCTGCAGCATTCATTATACCTTTTTATAGGAGTTGTATGATATAGTTTTGCCAACGCAAAAGCACTGACACACAGTATAAGCAACCAATATAAAGAACGAACATTAAAGAACGTGCAAACATCCACAGGTGAAAGTGATCAACTCTTGTGAAACATTTAGTCATTTATACAAAGGAACTTTTGCATACACAGTGAACTCAGGTGCAACAGAATAAAAGCCGCAGCATGCTTAACCTATAGGAGTGGGTTAGAAAACAACACCAATGAAACGAGGTAGTTGATTGGAAGTTTCTAGTCTAGCTCAGCTACCACATCCAGCTCAAAGCGACCGCAGCAGAGCAGCACCTTCGCAGGTTCCCGGCTGCCAAACGCCAGAGCCTCGTGTTTGAGTGCGACACAGATTGTCAACAGCTGAGGCCTGTAAAGTTAGAAGATGGTGATTTAGTGGTTTGCTACGGAACAAATGACAGATGGCAGCTTGGAGGTCAAGGCTAGCTGGATATTTATGACCATAGTGGGAGTGAACCTGCATAGTTTAACACCTTCAGTGCCCCCAAGATATGAAGTGTTTCATTGTGAGAAATAAAACAAAAGGGACAATACTATTTTTAAAAACGAATTAATACAAAAATTTTTAAAAAAAAAAATGAACTCAATCTCTTATTTAATATGTGCTTGATAAAACCTAACAAAAGGAGAGAAGCAGAGGAGAATATGAAAAGAAAACAGGTTTATGTCGTAAGAGAGCAAACTTACTAGAGAAATATGAGAAAATAAATAAGACGTCCAAATTCATTTTCAGTTCTCCGTCATCTACACTGCACAAAGGGTGCAGCTTGGAGGTCAAGGCTAGCTGGATATTTATGACCATAGTGGGAGTGAACCTGCATAGTTTAACACCTTCAGTGCCCCCAAGATATGAAGTGTTTCATTGTGAGAAATAAAACAAAAGGGACAATACTATTTTTAAAAACGAATTAATACAAAAAAAAAAATATATATATATATATATATATATGAACTCAATCTCTTATTTAATATGTGCTTGATAAAACCTAACAAAAGGAGAGAAGCAGAGGAGAATATGAAAAGAAAACAGGTTTATGTCGTAAGAGAGCAAACTTACTAGAGAAATATGAGAAAATAAATAAGACGTCCAAATTCATTTTCAGTTCTCCGTCATCTACACTGCACAAAGGGTTTGACATCAATCAGTTAAGCATGAGAGTCGCTCACCACCTGACAGCTTGGCAAAGTATCATCGAAGCCTCCGATCATCAAATCCAACACTTTCTCTTTTGCTTTTCTAAACATAAATTACAGAGAAAATCTCTTTAAAGGCCGACTGTGCAGTTCATAGATAACCAGATCATTGATCGCCCTCATTCGCGGATGCATCTTTTCAATACATTTAGCCTAAATATTATTGTCTTTGTTTATTTCTCTATAAAAGGCCCCAAATGATTTCCCCGAAAGAATGCCACCGAAACACAAGAAGACAGTTTCAGGTCAGAGGTTCGGCTCTGGATTGAGCTGTCCGGGTACTTGTTCCCTCTCAATGAATGACAGGATGGGCAATCCTTTGCGGGACGTCCTTTGTCGCACCCGTGACCTGGAGATGAAAAAGTCGAACATGGGCACCAAGTAGAGAATGGACAGCTCACTGAGCCGTAGCATGCAGTCGGATGAGGCGGGAGGCTGTTCTATGGACCGCATCGGAGCGGGACATGCAAGTCCCTCCCCAAGCCCACCCGCAAGAGTCAATCCTCTAGAAGGTCCCGGTCTAACTCCATGTAAGGCTCATCTATGTAGCCGATAATGGCACAGGGAGAAGTCCTGTCCTCACCAAGCAGTACTGAAACAGTCTCCTTCCAGAAACTGAAGGGAATACAGGAGCTCTGAAAGAAAAGTGAAGATGGATAGTTAAATATTATTCAAAAGCAGCATTTCTCGAACTGGGGTTGGTGAAGGAAATGCAGGGGTTTGTAGGTTGATGAAAAGCTAATAATCACATCTTGCAAGATAATTTACGATTATCATTTCATTTTTTAGAGTTACAATAATAATAGTAATAACAATATGAAGGTCAATTTAAGACTTCAGACCAAGTAAAAAAAATCTAAAGAATAAACTGAATGGAACACAATATGTCAGTAAGGTCTCTAAGGGTGTTTTCACACCTAGATCGTTTGAGCCCTGCAAACACTCTCGGAGCGGTTCAGCTCGTATACGTGAACAAACAAGTGATCTCAGACCCCCCTAAAAAGACCCAAAAGCGAACCTTACTCAGTGTGGTTCATTTGTGGTTCGATTTCCTCGTGATTTGTGAAAGCAATGAGGTACCGGTACGCTTTGTACTATGGGCCAACATAACAGTAATGCTTGAGTTTGAACTAAGCAGTTTAGTACTTGTATATATATTTTTATATAGGCTATATTTTATTTTTATTATTTATTGATGTCATTTCAGATTCACATGTCACATTCAAACACGCACAATGTCGTTACATTTTTCAAAAATAAATAAATAAACCAACTGTTAACAAGAGCAATACAAAATAATTATGTTGTCATTTATGTAATCTACGGCTAACTGTGTATTAAATTATTTAAATGCATGCATCGTTAAGTATTCTCGTCATGACGGAGGCAAAGAACCAGCCGACGCACAGCGGAGATCTAGCTTTCTCCCTGCTTTAAATCAGACACAGAGATGAAGTAGTGTGGCAAGATCACATGTATTTGAATGCATGAATTATATTATTGATTTGATTTAATTATAGAGAGAGAAAGAGAGATGAAAGTTGCGTGTGTGGATTGCGTCTGTGCAAGTCAAGTGAAGCTGTGAGTTTCGTTACTTCAAAACATAAATTTTACAGCAGCATTGACAACAGGTGTCCATACTCGTGAATATTTCTGTGAGCGCAATCTCCGATCTGTGTCTCTGCGAGTGATGTGTGCGTGCGTGCGTGCGTCTCAAGTAGTAGTAGTATATTTTTATTTAATGCCATGTCAGCATCAAAAAATACAAGTATAATAAATACAATAAAACTCAAGTGTGTCAATGAAAGCAGTGGAACAACTCTCTGCAAAAGTCTTGACCAGTGACATGATCAGGGATTGCCAGCTCTTTCTCACCCACTTCCCTGTCCACGTCTTCTTCCAAATTTTCCAATAAGTCAGACTCCACTGCTGCACAGAAAGCTGGGGTCTGAGTTCTTATGAAGTTGTGGTGTGAACAAGAAAGGGTCTGAGATTACTTCAGTGCTGAAGAGGACCAAGAAAAGAACCGGGTTCTTTTTTGAGTCCACTATATTGTGAACACCAAAAGGATTGAGATCACTTTCAGCTGGTTCCCTTTAAGTGAAATGGGTTTGGTTCCTTTGAAACGAACTATATGTGAAAACACCCTAATTGTAAATATCTTATATTAGCAATACTTCAAAGTTCAACACTTCAAACTTTCAACATATCTCCATTACTTTTTACTCCATTACTTTTTAATTCATTAAAACAAAAAGCCTAAATTAAATATTTTCATGATATAAAATGATCAAGTCTCTTCAGAAAACTTGGACTAAACTGCTCAATACACATGGATAAGTTTTAAGGTCTCTTTATGAACTTTTTTGAAAATCAAAGTGATAGTTGCGTAGACTGTCAATGGAGGAAAATAAATCTCTCAGTTTTCAGTGAAAGTATCTTCATTTGTGTTCCAAAGATTCATGAAATTCTTATGGGTTTGGAATAACGTAAGGCTGAGAAAATGGTGACAATTTTTATTGCTGGGTGAACTATGCCTTTAAGACTCTCTGCTTCAATTTAAGACCTTTAAAGGCCTTCGTCTGTGGAAGGCCTAAGACTTTCAGATCCACAGGAACCCTGTATAAATGTTCAGCCCTTTATATTAAAAAAAAGACCATATGACCAGAGAATCATAAACATGTGAATGTGTCGTGAAATTATTGAAATATTTACTTAAAAACATACCCTCAGGGGGTATTTATTTTTGGAACCCCCGACTTAAAGGAAGAATTCTATACAGTTAAATATAAAATGTATACACACTCACATTCTCCAGGCAGGTGCTGTCCTTGTCCTTGTTGAGGTAGTGGTGCTGCCAAAAGCGCAGCAAGTTGTGGAAATTGTTGAGCAGGCAGCCGGGATATTTCTCTGCGTATTCCTTCTCCCGCAGGGCGTTCAGGTAAAACGGGAGCTTGCCTCTCCTCCGGGCCAACATCAGAATCACCAGGCTGGTGTTAAGACAGCTCACATTCTCCTGGGAGAGCAACCAGAAAAACAAAGGAAAAAAACACAGGAATAATTATCAAGGAGGATTAAAATGAGACAAGCAGGGAGAGGAGATGTGCATTATGGTCTTGCCTGTGTGAGGGTTTGCACGTTGATGATGTTAACCAGCCTAAAAAGGAAGGCCAGTCTGTTCTCCACTCGAGCCATGTAGGACAGCAGACAGCACTCAGAGAGCACTTCAACCACTGCAGATGCACAAACACAGACTAAAATAGACACTGCAATTTTAAAAACAAAGATCGGACTAAATATTTTTTTTAGAAATCTATGTCTAATGCTATGAACCGATTTATCATCTGATTAAGCAATTAACATGATCTGTGAAAGTGAGCAGACGGTTTATTAAATACCAAGTTACCTGAGAAAATAGTCATCTTCCCATCAGATTTTTCTTAGAGACATCAACATTTTTTACACTAACAATTAACACAGGATGAAATATTAAATACACATGTAAAGTGACTGGCATTATAAATATTGTGATGAATTTAATGCACTTTTAATTTGAACTGTTAAACTCCCTAAAGACGTGTCACTTGTCAGTTGTCACTAGCCTAAATCAGACTAGTGAGTATCAATATAAACACTTTCTCATTGGATCGAAGCAAATCTCATAGGTGACATAATTTGCTCTCAAAAAGGTGAGTTGTCACTGAAAAGTGAGGAGTTTGCATCTATGCATATTGCTGTTTATTACTATGTCTTGTTATTTTAGTTCACAAAAAACAAATTCCTTTGTGTCAATTGTGAAAACTAGTGTAGAAATATACCTTACAGCAGTTTACGTCTTGGAATAAACATTACTGATATACCAGCCTTTTTTTTTTAATGTATTTACAAATACATATACACTACCAATCGAATGGGTTTGGGTACATTGGGTAATATTGTTTAAAGAAGTCTCTATGGTTGAATTTATTTCAACAAAAAAAAAAAACATATTATAATATTATGATTTTTAAAAATTTCATTTATTCCTGGCGGCAAAGCTGAATTATTAGCTGCCATTAATCCCGTCTTCAGTGTCACACGATCCTTCAGAAATCAATCTAATATGCTAATTTGTGCTGAATATTTTTATGGGAAAAAATATACAGGATTTATTTATTCATGATTCTTTGATGAATAGAAAATTCAAAATAACAGCATTAATTTGAAAGTGATTTTTTTTTAAATCTTTTTTTCCCCCTTTTAAACAATTCAAAGTGTTTTTGGTGAAGACAACTATTCATTAAAAATGTTTTATTTTTTTAGCTGTATCACTAACAATCCAAGAGTACAATTGCTTAATTTACCTTTCACATCTTCTGTCTGGCTCTCAAAGCGATCTAGAGAGAGGACGATACATCGCACAAGCATGTTGGAGTCCACCAGAGAGCTGTTGATCTGAGTGAGGAACACCTGGAACTGAAGGAGACACAGCTTTTATTTCTCTATTACTCTATAGCCTCTACAATAAATCAGAAATCATGTATGTGACCCTCTTTTTGCTGTTGCCAGTACCTTTTCTTCTGTGTTGACATATTTGTTGAATCTCTTGAAGGCATCAATGTTGAACTTCATAAGCTCCCCGAGCAAATCAAAGTAGCTTTGCAGGACATCTCTGGACTTGCAGCCGCTGTCGATGATGCAGAAGAGGATGTGCTACAAACCAAAGACAGAATTAGACTATGCAGAAATTCTATAGGGATAGAGAATTCAACTACTCAAGTAAAAACATTTTGACCAATAAGACACACAAGCAGGCATTAACGTTTTTACCTCCAGCAAGCCTCTCTTCAGCAGAAACATCTGGTCTGCATATGAGGTGGCCCCTCTGAGGAAGCTCTCAACAGCTCTGGCCTGCCAGAACCTTCAGAGGGAACATATGTCACCATGACTTATGTGGCATTTCAAAACACTTAACCAAAATTATTAAGAACCCAGTGTCTCACCTGAAGGAAGAGTCTGGAGGTTCTCTTTTCATAACAGTGAGGATCCGTGTGAGAAGCCCTTTTTTACCATCACACACTAAACTCCTAAAAGACACCACATACCAGACAGATTGTAATATCGTAAAGAAATGATGCATATTAGCATGTAAATTATCATTCCATTCTGAATACTACCTGTCGGTGTTTACTAGAGCCTCCACCTCAGGGATGTTTGCCTTTAGGGAGATGGCACTCAACTCATTCAGCTCCTGAGCATTCAAAAGTAGGTACTTATTCCTAAGGACAAAAGAATAAATGTGTTGTTCTGTCAATCTACATGTACATGGCACACCACTGAAAGCTCACACAATTTAACTTACTCGTGGTGGTCACTAAAGCTCTGCAGAAGCCTCAAGAACTGGATTTTAAAAGAGATTTCCTGTGCAATAAACAATAGCATAACATGATCAATGAGAATTATGGGAAATAGAATATTTTGAATGAGTGAATACATTATCCCAAAGCTCACCGGGCTGCAATCACAGTTTTCATTCTGTCCATGAACCACGTGATTAGAGGTGGTGTATTTCCTCCAGATGAGCTTGTCGAAAAGGTTATTGAGTCCAGGAATCAAACGAAACTCTGCCAACATTTTATGCACCTAACAGATTATGATAAACAAAGATGGGAATTACAACATTAATCAGCACCAAGCAGATCCTTAACTGACAAGAACGGCTCTTACCTGGTTTCGCTGTCGGCCCATGAGAAGGACACACAGCACGTAAAGCACTTCCACCTTATACATGATCTCATGGACGATCTTCATGGACTGCGGCAAACGGTGCCTCAGAGGGATGGTGGCCAATGTGCTCTCATCAGATGATTCTGTGAGGAAAAAAATTATAATAACAAAGAAATTCATTTTATTTAGCAAGGACACATTCAATTAATAAAAAGAGACCGTACAAAAAATCATTTTGCAAAAAATTTGTTTCAAATAAATGCTGTTGTCTGGAATGTTCTATTCCTTAAAAGGGTCAGTTCACCCCAAAATGAAAATTCTGTCATTAATTACTCACCCTCATGTTGTTCCAAACCCGTAAGACCTCATTCAACCTCGGAACACAAATTAAGATATTTTGGAAGATGGTGGAAGACAGTAACGTGGGGGAGAAGAATTGTTGAATAAAGTTGACATTATTGGTTTCTTTGCGCACAAAAAGTATTCTCGTAGCTTCGCAAAATTGAAGTTGAGCCACTGATGTCACATGGACTGTTTTACCGATGTCCTTACTATGTTTCTGGACCTCTGAACATTGCAGTTGCATTGCTGTCTATGGGAGGGTCAGAGAGCTCTCAGATTTATCAAAAATATCTTAATTTGTGTTCCGAAGATGAACGAAGGTCTTACGGGTTTGGAACGACATGAGGGTAGAGCTGGACGATATGGCCAAAATTTATATCACAATATATTTCTTAATTCCGGTCGATACGATATAATTCCGATATCGATATGAACACTATTAAAAAGCCTCATAAAAACGGCCAAGAACAGCCACAACAGATGTCTGTACCTACAAACTTATGAAAAATTAATTTGCCAACTCTATGAAACCTACTCCTATAAAACTATATAATATTTTAGGAAAAAAATGGCGCAAATAAATAAATGTTCATCTTTTATTGGTATTTAGCCTTCATACAAACAAGAAATGTGAAATCACTGTCAAATAAATCTCAGACTCTCCTTATTAATATTAATGTTTTTACTTCAAACTATAGGCTAACATACCAGTCAAAAGTTTTTGAACAGTAAGATTTTTAATTTTTTTAAAGAATTCTCTTCTGCTCACCAAGCCTGCATTTATTTGATTCAAAATACAGCAAAAACAGTAACATTTTGAAATATTTTTAC